TTCTGAGTTTTGGTGATTTTCCCAAAATTGGCCACGAGGCGCAGCAAGTTGCGGGACTAGGTGACTTGCACCATATATCTAAAAATAAATAATGATCATCAAAATGTAACGCCCACGTGTCATTAATACTTTTTTCTTTTGCCGATCGAACAAATTGGCCCATATGTGTATTACAAGTGTAATTTTGGTTTCTAGATTTGTATAAAGAAAGTTACTTAAAGACGAAAGTAATACACCAGAAAAATTTTATTAGTAATCTACAAAAATTTGCCCAGAATTTTCTGCAGTTGTCACACAGATTACGAATTAATATATTAATATATATACAAATATCTAATTAATAACTACCAATTTACCTGTAAAAGAAACGCCATGGCCACTCCCACTACAATAACAGAAAAAGATGTTCTCTCACTACCTGACGAAATTAAAAAGATGAAGAAGAGTGAACTTATTGAATTTTTACGAAGACATAAAGAGCTAAATCTTGATGAGGAGGAACTTAGAATATTTGAAAAACAAAAGGTTTCTGGTCGAGACTTTCTCCTTCTGACTAAAAAAGATCTTCTAGAAGCATTCAATCTTCCATTAGGACCAGCCATAAGAATTGCAGAATTTATCAATAAACTCAAACAACGTAAGCATATTTTAAATTCTGGGTGCAGATCTTCACAGATATATAAATTTTACTAAAGGGTTCATGTAGCTAGATATACCGGACTTGTACATGAGTTTGTTGACAATTCCAACCTCTTTATTGAGGGAAAATTTACTATTGGCCAACTTGAGTGTATTTTTGACACTGAAAAAAATTTGTACCATATTAATCAGCTTCATATTGAATATGGACAACTTCTTGCATTAGTTCAAGGTGGACGTGGCCTTGGTGGTGCACCTGTTCTCGTTGGTTCTCGTCCACCCCCAAATGACTCACTATGGAAATGCATTCAAAAACAAGGATATGAGGTAACAGTGTATGATCAGAATGCTGAAAACCGTAAGAAGAAGGTTAATATGGAAATTGGTGCCTCTATGATGGATACCATTCAAAATTATAATCCTTGTATATTAGTGCTAATTGCTGGTGATGGTAACTATTGCAAGTGTGCAATCTGAGTTTCCTAACTAATAGGTTATTTATGGTTCAACACACAGCCTCCTTGCTGACTTATGGTTGATTCTAGTGTTTGACACACAGCCTACTCACTGACTTACAGTCAAAAATCAATAAAATATAACTTTTATCTTTTCAGATAAAAGGGTCCCTAGGTTCTATATATGTAATTATATCCCAAAGGCGTCCCCT